GGATCTATCCTTGGCACTATAGCAATAACAACAACAACAACGACAACAACTACGACATCATCGTCATCATCATCTTTAGCAATATTTTACTCGACAAACAACAACAAGAACAACAAATCAACGACAAAACTCAACAAAACTAACAACAACTACAACAGAAATCAGCAAAACAACTACAAACAACAACACAACAAACCAACAACAACAACGAGCCAAAAAACAACAACAAACTAGAGAACAACAACAACAACAAACCAAAAAACAGCAGCAGCAACAAACCAAAGAACAACAACAACAAAAACAAACTAGAGAACAACAACAACAAACCAAAGAACAACAACATCAACAACAAACCAAAAAACAGCAGCAGCAACAACAAACCAAAAAACAGCAGCAGCAACAACAACAACAACAAACCAAAGAACAGCAGCAGCAGCAGTAGCAACAACAACAACAACAACAAAAAAATAGAGATGTCCCAACACCACAAAATCCAGTTGAGTATCGTGAAGAAACCGTACGACCGACCGATCCACTTCAAAGTTGACGGTAAGAGATTCGACCAGGAGAGAACCGTCAAATTCAACGTCAACGCAAAATACATCGTCAACATCACAGTCACACCTCCGCTCATCATCGAGTTAGTTTTTTATTTTTCATTTTATTTTTGTATTTTTGTTTTTTAATTATTGTGTTTTTGTTATTATTATTATTGTTAATGTTGTTGTTGCTATTGTTGTTGTTGTTGTTGCTGTTGTTATTATTTTATTACTATTATAGTAATAGTATTGATATTAGTAAAAGTAGTAGTAGTAGTAGTAGTAGTTGTTGTAGTAGTTGTAGTAGTAGTAGTTGTAGTAGTAGTTGTTGTAGTTTTTAATTTAGACTGCTGTCGTTTAGTGACTAACCAACTGAATGAACGAACGAACGAACGTACGAACGAACGAACGAACGAACGAACGAACGAATGAATGAATGAATGAAAATGTTTGCAAATGAAAGAAAGAGACCATGCAAATAAAACCCATTGTGCAATGGTTTATTCAGCAGTAGTTAGCAATTTGACTTTAACGCGTTATTAATACTAACGATACGATCACCGAACATGGTATGAAAAGGAATGACAAGCATTACAACCATTGGAGAGTACGAAATTACTCATAAGATATATATTCCGAAATAATATTTACCATCTCTCTCTCTCTCTCTCTCTCTCTCTCTCTCTCTCTCTCTCTTCCTCGTTCTTCCTATCTCTTTATATGTATCTAAGTTATTACAACAGTCATTGTTATATGTATATTAGTATGTGTTTTGTTTGTATACGTAGCAGGTAGCACATGAATATAACGTTATATCTTTTATTATTTCTCTCTCTCTCTCTCTCTCTCTCTTTCTTTCTCTCTTTCCGTGTGCAAACGCTTATCAGTTTGTGTATCATTTGTATCCTCCATTTGTATCTCTCTCTCTCTTTTTCTTTCTTTTTCCATGTGCAAACACTATATCAGTTTGTGTATCATTTGTATCCTCTATTTGTATCTCTCTCTCTCTTTTTCTTTCTTTTTCCATGTGCAAACACTATATCAGTTTGTGTATCATTTGTATCCTCCATTTATAATGATACATTCAAGCATATCCATCATCATCTAGTAGGTGGTGTTTAATTAATGCCCTTAATTGAATGCACCTATGTTGGATTCATCATTTAAGCGTAATTGAGTAAATATTATTTCTTAGTAATTATTGTTGTTGGTTATGAAGAAAGGAAAGAAAGAAATAAAAAGAGAAATAAAAAGAGAAAGAAATAGAAAGAAAGAGAGAGAGAGAGAAAGAGAGAGAGAGAGAGAGATAGAAAAAGTGAAAAAATGATGAAATAAAAAGAAATTAAAAGATGAAAGTAATTACAATATTCGAGCGTAAAGAGGAACAAATTGTCTAAATTATTTTCCATTGGTCTTCATTCATTCGTTCGTTCGTTTCTCTGTCTATCCATCCATCCAGTCATCTATCCATTCAGTTATTCATCCATCATTCCATCCATCCATTCATTCCTTCATTCGCCCATCTAGTTTTATCAAGAAGAATGCATCATCACAATCATGTCTGTTCACGCTATTATATTATTCAAAATTAATTGCTGTTAGATTGAATGTACACACATACACACACACACACACACACACACACACACACACACACACACACACACACACACACACACACACACAAACGCACACACAATTACAGCAACACACAAGCACACACACCTATATAACAACACACACACACATAAATATTTCAATATAAATACATACATTTTTTTATCACAATATTACATACTTGCATATAAAGCATATAAATCATTATATAACGAACAATTATATAATAGATTATAAATAACTATTCACATGACAGATTGTTCATTATGATTTAAACAATTAAGAACTTATATTATTTATATTTATTTGAATGTGTACACACTAAATCTAAAAAGAGAGTAATTGAATTGAATTGAATTAAATAACATTTAAATAAAAGAAATTTTATATTTTTTTTTATAAACTATCAATTTGCTTGATAAGAAGATAGCTCAGTCTGTAAAAGTGCCATGTCTTGCGTTGTCATTTCGTACTGACCTGGTTCGAGCACAGTCTCCGTACGATATACAAAGACAAATATGTGACCCGACGCGTAATATTATACTGTGTCCAGTAGTAGTTTTTTGGAGTGTGTGCGTCGTGTGGTGTGGATGTTTGTTTGTATGTTTGTGTGTGTGTTTGTTTGTGTGTGTGTTTGTGTGTGTACTTAACTTCGTTTAGAGTGTGTGTACATTGTGTGGTGTGTATGTGTTACAGCGTGGGTGACACAAAAGTTTCATTAGCGCAATAAAAGAATTGTATAGAAAATTATTCATAAATATTACACAATAATAAATAATAATAATATATAAATATAATTAAATATTTAAATATATTAATAATAAAAAATATTAATAAACAATGAACTGGATGAACTGCAGACAGCTGACGATGATGGGTGCTAAACTGGAGGTGGACGAGATGAAGAGGACCGACGAGGAGGTTGCAGTCTTCAGGGCCGAGATGGTAACTTCCGGTTTAACTAAAGACATCAAGGGCTCCAGACAGAAATTTCCAATTCAAATACAGGTGATTTTTTTATGGAGTTGTCTCTGTTGATTTGTTTCTTCTTGCATTTTGGTATTTGTTGAGTTATTGGATTTTTGTGATATTTTAAATTGCTAGTGTTGATTTATCTTTCGTTTTGTTTTGCTTGTTGGTACTGTTTCATCTTTTATTTTGTTTTTTTTTGTTGTTGTTTAAACAACGTAAACTTACTAAATAAATTCATAAAAGCCAACAAAATTTCAATACAACTACATACACATACAGATGCAATCTACATACACATACAAATGTAATCTACATACACATACAAATGTAATCTACATACATATACAAATTTAATCTACATACACATACAGATGCAATCAAGTAACAACAGATGCAGCAAGCAACACTCCTTACAACAACATAATTAAAGAGACATAGTAAAAGCAAAAAAGAGCCTAATCTCACTAATTACTTTGCACACAACAAAAATATTTTCAACATTCCCAACCATTACTACTATTTCTATTTACTACTACTACTACTGCTTCTACTAATACCATTACTACTACTACTACTACTGCTACTAGTACTGCAACTGCAGCTGCTGCTATTACTACTATTGCAACAACAACTACCGTTACTAATGTAGTACAAGTTTAATTAATGCCGCTTCTACTACCACCACTACTACTACTACTACTACCACCACTACTACTACTTCTACTACTACTCTACTACTACTACTTCTACTACTACTACTACTACTACTGCTACTGCTACTACTAATAATACTCTACTACTACTACTACAACAACTTCTACTGCTACCACTGCTACTACTACTGCTACTACTATTACTCTACTACTACTAGTACCACTACTACCACTACTACTACTACTACAACTTTTGCTACTACTACTGCTACTACTACTGTTACTACTACTACTCTACTACTACTAGTACCACTACTACCACTACTACTACTACAACAACTTTTGCTGCTACTACTGCTACTACTGCTGCTGCTACTACTACTACTCTACTACTACTACTACAACTTCTACTGCCACCACTGCTACTAATACCTCGGTGTACACACCACACTGCTGCCGCCTGAACAGGAATTGCGCGTACAAAAAATCAATATTTGCCTGGGAGACAGATTTCCAGACAGACATCTAGACAAACAAACAGACAAGCACACACACACACAGACAGACAGACAAACAAATTGACAGACAAACAAGCAGACGAACTGGAAGATTGACGGATAATATTTTTTTGCACTTTTTTTTAACAAAAATTTAACAATTTTACGATGACGGTGAAGATTAATTAAATAAAATTGGTTTTGTTAATGTATTTTTACTATGAATTTTGTTTACATAAATTTCTTACAATGTCTTACGTCTGCAAATGATTGAAGATCATTTGTTTACATATTAATTAGTTAATATAAATCATTAGTCAACATTGTTTCTGTATTAGAAAAAAATAATTCTTAAAAACAACAACAACATACACACATGAAACACTATGATGGCAGACAGACAGACAAACAAACAAAGAGACAGACAGCCAGACAGCCAAACAAACAAACAAACAAATAAACGAAAAAACAAACAATTTCATCAAATGCAACATACACAACATGTAATACATAATAAAAAACAACAACATCATCAACATCAACAACAATAGCAACATAATCAACAATATAATCAACGACAACAACAATAAAATCAACAACAACAACAACGTCGTTATCAACAACAAAAACAACAAACAACCCCAAACAAAAACAACAGTTCAAAAACACCGGTGAAATGCTGACGAACTTCCAGTGCAAATTCTACGGAGAGCATGAAACACAGCACACCTGCTGGGGAAATCCACTGAACCACATCGAGTATGATGTTCACCTGTCTGAAGGAAGGTTCATCATTGAAGCCGAACACTTTAGGTGACCTGGTTTCGTTTGGTGTGACCTAGTTTCGTTTAGTGTGACCTGGTTTTGTTTAGTATGACCTAGTTATTTACTGTGACCTGGTTTAGTGTGACCTAGTTAGTTATTGTGACCTAGTTTTGTCTTGTGTGACCTAGTTATTTATTTACTGTGACCTGGTTTCGTTTAGTACGACCCGAGACATTGTGATCTGGTTTCGTTTCGTGTAACGTAATTGAAGTGTTGGTATGACCTAGTTTGACCTAGTTTTAACTTTTTGACCCTGTTTGGTTAAGTGTTGAGGTTTTAATTTGGTGACCACTTTGGTTTATATAGTTTTGTTTCATATTGATGATCTTAGCTTAATTGGATGAATTTCGCCCGAAAAAGAAGACAACGATTTGATGGCGAAGTTTGCATGTGTAATAAATTATGTCTGTTGGTACATTTAAAGTCATGTAATTAGAAGTTATTTTTTGTTTTACAATTTTCAATAGCTTTTATAAATATGTGTGCGTATGAAAGTAATTTATGTTTTCATGCGTGTGTATAGATGTGTGCGTGTGTATATTAGTGTGTATATATGTGTGTGTATATATTAGTGTATAGATGTATGCGTGTGTATATTTGTGTATAGGTGTTTGTGTTTGTGTGTGTGTGCGTGCGTGCGTGTGTGTGTGTGTGTGTGTGTGTGCGTGCCGAGGTCTAAGTGAAATCACCAAATAAAATATCCACAATTCATTATTATGCCTGCCATATGCGAGTTATTGCAATTTAGTTCGGGCTTCAACTTAAAGATCCAACCAACACTGTATCAAATCAATCTTTTAACTCATGAGCAGGGCAGTAAAAATGCCTTCAGATTACGACCAGTCTCACTCAAAATCTTTCGAAGTTTATTGTCACCATAAAATTTCGTCTCCTCATTCGCTCAACAACTTGTCTAACAAACAGGCGCTATTCGTCTTCCAGCAGCTAAACATCCGTCTTATTTCTGCTTTTGAAGTTTGTTTCAAATATAATAAGCCAGAGAAACGCGACAACAAAAGTGTTTTGTTTTGAGACTGGCAATAAAGAAGGTTTTATTTTTTTATTTCAGTTGTTCGGGACCACAAATCTAATATAAATTTCAAAAATATAATTTAATTTGCGACGATAATTTTTTTTATAAGTTCAAAAAGAACTTAAGAAAAATTTATAATGTTTGTTTGTTTGTGCAGTTTCAAAAAGAATTTAAGAAAAATTTTTAAAAGAAACAAATTTGTTTTAATGTATTATTTTAATTAAAATGAACATTTAATAAATTTGACTTTTCACTTTTCTTCATCCTAATCTGCTCGCATAATTATCATAATCGATTTATTATATAGTCTGAAAATTGTGATAAGCTTCACTTAACGTCTTTCTTGACCATCCCAACAATCTTCACCATTCGTTTGGGGTTGTTGAATAAAAAAAAGTTCATTTCCTTTCGTTCCATGCCATAAATGCATGTGGTGTGCGTATTGTTGCAACTTGCACTATCTTCAAGTTATCGATATTCCGTGATTCCTGATAGATTAACACAACTGATTCAAAAACCGACTTGTTTAAAACATTTATTTAAATGCCAACAGTGATCGAACCCATCCATGTGTCATTCACTAGTCACAAGAAATCCACAGCGAAACTTCTCACATACTCCATGTATATAACACCACAACTCCTACCTCTCCTTCTTTACAAATCATGGGATTATAAAACCCAGATAACAACAATCAATTTAAATTAATTATATAGCGCTATTGCGGGGCTTATAACACTATTATTGTATGTATGTATGTATATGTATGTATGTGTGTGTGTGTGTGTGTGTGTGTGTGTGTGTGTGTGTGTGTGTGT